ACTAAACGATTAATCAAGAAGCAGTCATCAGATTAATCAATAAGGAAAATAATTGTTTGTTGCAGCCCTAAACATTATGACCCAGTAGGTTTTTTGCAACGTGGTACTACATTTACTAAGTCCCTATTGAAGAAATGTAAAAGGTAAAGTGGTTTTATGACTCAAATTAGACCATAGAAGGGATTTTATTTCCATGACATCTTTACAAATATGTTGTTTTTTTCCCCATTTTGCTATTATAGCATGCCCAGAATACGTATTGTTCTATATGTCTTTGTAAGTGTATGACTTTTAGTGAGCAGCCCTCTGGTGTCCTTGGTGGTGCTATGATATTGTATTTACTGATAATGTTCAGTACAAAACATAACAGAAACCAAAGTACAGAGAAGTTCCAAGTGTCCTCGTGGCCATGACAAAAGTGACCAAAAAAACCAATGAAGTCATCTAGAAATTCAGTTTATATTCTACTAATTTGGAAGATGTTTACTGTTCTCGAGTGATGGGAGTGGCACTGTGTTGTACAATAAGCTAATGAAGTGGTTGAGGTGGATTGTGGATGTATGAAGCTCAGGACTCTGATACTGGAGACAGGGGTACCTTAAAAGTGATGTTAGGTTCAGGCAACAAACGTACAATGGATCAATAAAAATAAATAAATAAACATATCCTGTGTTGTTTTTGACTTTTCAGAATTTAACGAAGACCAAGATTTTTCCTGAACTTAACAAAGTGCTTGACCAAGAATTTCTTTGTTGCAACTATAGCCTACATCATTTTTTCAAAAGAAACCTCCACAGATAACATACTCACACTTGCTAATTTCCACCGGTTTGTTTTGTATTCACTCTGTGTAGTTTGATCTAATTCCAGCAGATGGTTACAGCAGAGTTAAAAATCTGCTGCAAAATGGCATCCTCTATCAGAAGCTAACAGTTAACGATTAAAGCGATTCTCCAGTTAAACCAGATCTAATTAGCTTTTGCCAATTTCCCCCCCTCTCGTACCTCTAAACTCTCCATCTGCTGTATTGGAGCTTCTGAAAGTGAACTCCACTTCTAGGAAGAGGAGCTGCTGTAAAGCTCACTCTCTCTCTCTTTTTTTTTTCTCCACGGGCTGGTTTGAAGTCATCTTTTGTCTGGCGAGGGGGGGTTATTGTCTACATATTAAGTGAGGTTCTGTAAGGGTTTCAGCAGCATCTTGACTCCCCTAAGCTGAGGAGCAGCTGAGGTTAAGTGGTCTCCTCACTCATGGCACCCATCTTCTTCTTCACCGTGACAGCTGGGGACCAGACCGTTGCCATAGATACACTATCCACCCCCAATCGACTGCTCATTTGAAGTTAACACACACACTCATATATATATATATATACACACACACACACAGTATACTGTGTACAGTATCAGTTAATAGTGGATGATCTTTGATATTTTTCTGGCCTCTCTTTCTATTCTCCTCCCTGAGCAACTGAACCAAAATATGAACACTGAACAATACTAAATCTAAAAGCAGAAAACTCTTTTCCTTTCATGCACTCTAAGGTTTAATTGTTATCTATTAGAACTGATTATGAAAAATGGAAAGTCAGCTTTTGGAACAGTAAAAATAAATCTCAGTCACTGTACATGACTGCGTTTCTGTTTGTTTTGCTCAAATTGCAGAACTTTTCACTGAAATTGGAAGAATTCCAAGAGATAAACCAGTGATCAGGAGAATAATTTCAAATATTATTTTCCAATAACACACTCCACAGGGCAACTTCTTGTGTGCCAGGCTACAGAAGACACAGGTCTTGTTCACTGACTGAAGGGAATGGAATTTGCTTTGTATGCAGGAAATTCCCTCAGTGATGAATTCTGTTTGAAAATGTATAATACTACAGGATCATTCATCTTCAAAGCCATCCCACTTTATGTTTGTTTTCAACTGTATCAAGTATATTCAATTACTTTAAACTAAAGTATAAAAGATGTAGTGAGTGATAAAGTAACTATCTATTAATCCTTAAATAAGGGATCAAGATTGTTAAAAATGAATTGGCTCCAAAAACTGAGGTAACAAAAACAATATTTAAGAATGAATAGCCTTTGTGTACAACTCAAACTCTTATGTTAACAATGTTGCATATGTTTCTTTCTTTCAGAAACATATGAGGACCACTCAGCCTCACTGCGCATTTGGGGCATCATTTATCATTTCTCATAAAAAGACGTTCTAAAAATGTTGCCAGATTTAGCTCAGAGCACAATGTTTGTGCTGCATTTATGTTGTGAATTTTAATATGATCACACATTGCTCTCTTTAAAAAAAAGCTATATTTTCTTAAAACACAAAAGAACAACAAAACATCGAACAGAGAAAGTTCTAGCAATGCCATAAACCTAATAGGATAATAAGGAAGGCATCTGAAAAGCCTCCACTGAAGGCTATATATGTATTTTCTGTGAATACCAATGGGAAAATGTGAATCAACTTGTGTAATTTGATCTGTTTTTAATTGCACTAAATTTCAAAGAATAGTCAGTGTTCCCACGGCAGTGAACGTCATCTCCATATGCAAAGTAAATGTATTTATGCAACAGCAAGAATGGATCTTTGGGTTCACAGTAGATGACTTTGGAGAGCGATCACAAGTCAGAGATAGAAATCTGTAAATACCTCTCTTGCAAAAGACAGCAATTCTACATTTCTACACAAAATATATGATTTTTAACTGATTAATTTTTTTAATGTCAACACACTGCCTGGAAGATATATTTTGATGGAACAATACAATCCTTTGCTCTTAAAATCTCCTATTTAATATCACGTAAACAGTAATGCATTTCTGATGTTGAATAATTTGTCATTTACTTATTCTAATTATTCATTAGTCAACAATTTCATATGAATTTATTAGAACCCCATTTCTGCTGCTCGTCACTGTAAAAGCTCCCATCCTGGTGGAGCTGCTGGATTCTGATGCTGCTGTGAGTGACATCTCTATAGGTGTGGTGCTGTTTACTCACCAGCAACGCTGTCCTGTTTGACCACTATCCTGGGTCAAACTCTAAGGAGGAGGCCCCACCTAGGACCCCGGACCAGCAGGCTGAGATTAGGGGACATTTGTTCCACAATATTGCTGCCTCCTGGTTTCCTGAGGCTGGCGCGTTTGCACAGAAGGTGCAGGCAGATATTTGGGTAGCGGCCAAAGCCTTTCCTTGCTAGCGGGCCACCTCGCAAGAGCTGCAGGTGCTGAGAAGGACTCCCCACTGCTTCCTAGTGTGGTCTGCGACCCTGCAGGCTGATGGAACAAATGCTGGTCTAGGGAAAATAAACTTATCTCATTTGGATGACAACACGTAGCCTCGGGTTACTATATTGTGTTGCACCAGTTTTGAGAAACAAGTTGGATGGGGTCAGCGGCTCATCTTGCATTGTGAAGCAGAGAGAGCAGTTTGTCTCACGGTTTTACTCTTCATATTAATATGTGAACTTTTTAAAAAGAAAGCAATATATTGTTACCGATTGCTAATGCAAGACTAAGTCTAATCAGATGATTTCCCCTTGCACTTCGGGAGCCTTTGGTAAGTAACTGGGAATGTTGGAGCTATTCTCTGTGGAGGGGCTCTCTTCTGGCTGACCTGGCCCTGACCCCAGAGGTGAACCCCATCACACAGAGGTGTTAGCGTGCCACCCAGCGTGATGGATCACCCCTCGGATCCCTGTGATCTAACAATCGCAGCCAATCATCAGGGCTCTCACTGTTACTATAATGATCGGCAATGATTCAGGCCCGTAGTATTCAGATGATGGATGGAGGCTCGTGCCGGGCCCTGAGAGAGGGCGAGTCAGGCTGGATAGAGCCAGGACTCAATGTCTATTGACAGCGTTGGTAGGATGGGTAGTTGTTCACATCTTTATCATAATGAAGTGGAGATACTTAACCCTGGAGTACGTTGGGGTCTCAGTGCCTTAACACTGATGTTTAAGGTGACCCCCCTTAGGGAGACGCCCACACATTGGCTAACCCTTTTTGCCAGATGATATGCTAATTTTTGTGACCTTAGATGGAGCTGGGTTACTCCCACCTCTACTGAAAAGAGAGGTTGATGAGCTCAGCACGATGTATAGGGGATTGAGATTTTATTTACATCTCTTTAACTTGAATTTAATGTCAACATTGGTATTAGTAGTGAGTCATTGAGTAGAAACACATTCATCATGCTCTGTAACTGAAGTCCGTGCAATCATTTTCTAGTAGAATCCTTTCTATTTTGTACAGAAGATCAAAAGTAATCCTAACACTAATGTATACAGCGTAAGCTCCATTTGTGTGGAAAAAAAGTAATTCTGTAGCAATAAAATGTTTGAAGCCGGGTTTTGTACTGTATCTCTATATAATACATGCAGTGTCTATGTCTGGCCTTTGGATTTGGGTAAAGGCTGTCACAAGCTCACATGAGTGCATGCATCACGGAGCAGGGGTACTCATCCAAACCCCACCCAAAAACCCACTCCCCCAGTGCGGGGAATTACTGGGCCTCTCCCAGCTCCTGGTAACCCCTTCATTATCCACACACCAATGGGTCCGGATCAGATTCAGCCTTTCTGCAGGGGGGAAAGAAATGGAAATTGGGAGGCAGGGGCTGCACTCCATGCATCTGAACAATGCCTCAATGTTTAAGAAATGGCCTCATGGATGGGAAGTGATAGGATTCAGTTGCGCAGCTTGGTCTGGAGCGGGCTTCCTTGTTTTAATTTTGGTCATTTGTGAGAATCTGATAATGGTTCCTCTGACGCTTTGGCGTGGAGCGTGGTTAGCAGGACTGCTAAACAGAGAACAAAATATTAGATGCTATATTTTGTTTTCACCATGACCTGTGAGGTCTGTGCTCTGCCCCTTTCTCGGTCTCCATCTCCTTTTCTCTCTATGTCCTCTATTCATTTTTAAATTAACCTCCTAATGGACCTCATCTGTCCAGAGAGAGCCTATTAACTAAAGCCTCTCTCTCATCCAGGGTGACGACCACAGAGGGCTGCAGACTCCACCCACACGAACCTGTCCCTGACTGCCCATCACACCAACAGCCTCACACATCAGGAAACAAAAAATCAAATGTGGAGAAAACCAAGAGGTAACAAAAGGATTTCATTATATATAATTAATTACCTACTGGACCTTTCCGAACCAAAGAATTAGAGGGCTTTAATTGCTTTATCACCTGGGCCTTGTGAGCGCAGCAACTCAGCAATCAGCCTGATTTGTTTTAAATGAGCTGCCATGGGATGAGGTGGAAGCTTGATGCTCTCTATCTGCAATGCAGCACCTATAGGTGAAGTGCTGGACTGAAGGGGTGTAGAGTAAGGCTCCTAAATGGTAAATTGAATGTCTGTAAATGAATGGAATTCAACAGTGTCAGACCATGAAGCTCCCTAACATTTTCTGCTGGCCAAAACAGTCTTCAAGAATCAGTTAAAGGGGCCCTGTTTTCTTTTTTTTTAACGGAAAGGTTTCAAAACCCACAAACTCCCTCAGGATGTGGCGGTAGCCTTGGGATTTGAACACCAGTGTTACTGATGCAATTAGCATATTCCTGTATTAAAGGAGGGAAGCGTGACAGTGTTTTCCAGGATGTCAGTATGTATCATTAAAAGGCATATTTTAATTAGGGACATGTTAGTTCGTTACACTAAATGGATTAACATTGCTTGTCAAGGGTAGAGATATGTTTTACATTTAAGTCCACTGGGGAACAAGGTCTCAATTTAACAAGACATCTTAAGTTGAGATGGGTCTTGTTAGTGGGGATTCAAAAATGGCACTTGGACAGTTTAATATTTTGAATATGTGTGAAGATGCTGTATCGCTGGGCAACTGTTTGTGTGTAACTGAGTGTAAGAAGTCAATTATTATATTGCAAAAGTCTGCAGGCTGTGATCTGGAAACAATGCACTCAAAGGGCAGACAGTTTGCTATCATTTGCAAAGGATATTATTAACAAAGGACAGACTTCAACTCAAATTGGTTTAGTTTTACATTATAATTTTGTAAAACAAATGATTTCAAAGCATATTTGTCCCTTTCAAAGTTATGAGGAGAGATTTAAAAGTGTGCAGCTTTAACAGTACACGTTCTGATGATGCAGCAAGTATAGGTTCTGCATGACTGTTTTTTGGATCAAAGAGTGGTTATCTCTCCTATTGAGCTGTTCTCACCTCTGTCTTCTCTCATTATGGGGCGGACAACAAGAATTTCTCTCCATTAATCAGAACCCAATTCCCGGGTCAGCCGTCAATTCTTAACAAGCCAACATGCAAAAAAGAAGTGTGGAAATAAGTAAAATAAAAACAAGACAAGCATCTCCTGAATGTCATAGATTCTGGAGAATTGATTTCTTCCCTGTTAGAGGGGAAAAATGTGCGAGAAACTACTGCTTAGCCAGAGGTTCTACTAAATTAGATTCACTTTGTGTGTGCAGTCAGCAATCAGTCAGCAAAGTCAACCTGAACTGGTTGTGAAGTAAGCACATATTCATATAAATTGGCTTTTTTGCTGCAGCGAATGAAATAATCCCCTACCTGACTGCGGTGGATTGCTCTACATTGTTTTCATCCGTACATGAATAATGGCTTGTGTGGTTCCACAGTTTCCACAAAGAGCACGTCAAAGGATTTTGAGACGATCGAGATAGTTATTGGGATGTGAATCCTGCAGCTGTGTTTTTACATTTCCTACACACCTGCTGTGTTAACACCCTGCAACGATTATATCCAGAGGATTTGCAGGCGAGAGGCGTTAACACATTTTTTTTTTTTTTGAAGTTCCAAATTCTTCATATGCGTTGTATACACATTCAAAAAGTGGCAACTAAAAGATGGGATTAATTTAGACTTGTACAGATGTAAACATGACGTCAGATACGTTCTGCTTAATGCTAAAATCCGATTAATAACAACATATTTGCATCCGGAACTTACAAACCTATCCATGCTGTGCCATTTTCCATGAGTAAAAGATGATCTTCAGTAGAATATCATCACTCCACTCTTCTGACTGTCACTTAGCCCTGTCAAGATATAATGTCCTGCCCTACTTTGCCAGTTCTTGATTAAAATGTTGACTTTTTGCTGGGTAATAACCTGATTAATGTAATTGAATGTAAAAGGGCGTAGCTCAGCAGCACTGCTGATCACTGGAGATGGATTAGGAGAGAAGGCTTTCAAATTGAATACAGTTCTCCCTCCTCAGCTTGTTAATTGTGCCGTTTACCACTACCTGAGTCAGTGACCACTGCTATTTAGTCTCTCTAATGATGATGCACAGTCCGACCCAACCACAGATAATTAAAAAAGCCTTCCCCACACCAGCCCCCCATCTCTCTCTGTCTTGAGTTTGGTGTTGCATTGACAAGCCGCACTAAGGCCAGATATTGAGCTGTCGAGTCTTGGCTGCAGGACCACGTAACATTCTAAATGCTGTTGTGTGTTGAAAGTTAGATATAGATCCTTGGTGTTTGGCTGTGATTGACAGCTGAAAAGTCTGAGGTTTCCTCATGTTCTTCTTGTCAAAATGGTTTCTCCCCGTTTGTGTCACTCAAGCTAAAACAACTGCTTTGGTGATAGTTAATTCATTAAACATCAAAAAGAGAATAATTGTTCTTAATCTTCAGAAATCATTGCTTTCCTGTTGGATGGCTTAAAGAAATTGTGGTTTTTCAAATCATCTTAATAGAATGCCATGTTTGTAATCTTTACCTGGGTAAATTGTGAAAAAACAAAAAATATCAGCTGACTTTGTTCATGGAAAGTTACAGAAAATGGTTAACAGGCCCACTTTACTGTGGGTCAAACGTGTCTCTGTCTAGCTTTGTTTTGCTGTGCGGTGCAGAAGCTTGCACACTTTGTAAACCTGACAATAAGTTGCGTTGGAGTCATTACAAGCAGCACGCTCACATGGGGTTTGTAGTTGGTGGGGACAGGTGACGTTTTTATTTGTGGCACTGATGTGCAAAGAGGTACTTCACCTCATTGTCACGGCCAGGCAGTGAGAGCAAGTACAAGCTCTCTTCATCGCTGCCCGGTGTTGGCTTTTTGGTCTGTATTTTACTTATTTTCTATGAAAGAACACAGTGGTGAAGAAAATGGACAATGCTAAATGCAAGATGGTTCTGCAGTATGTAATCTTTCTAACTAGCACCACCATTTGTGACTATATCTTTTGGGCTTCAACTAAAGATTATTATCATTATGATAAATCTACCGATTATTGTTGCAATTTATCCATTCATTATTTATTCTGTGAGATCTCAAAAATAGTTTGAAAACAAATAGAATACAATTTTATAGAGTCCAAGGTGATGTCTTCTTTAGTCCCAGCTTCAATTTGCAGTGATATAACATACTTAGAAACAGCAATTCCTCACATTTGAGAAGCTGGCACTAGTACACTTTACTAGTACAATAATTACTTCATTAGACTATTAAATAGCTATAGATTAATATTCTGTCAATCAACTAATTGTTTCAGCTCTACTTTATTTTATCCTCAGTTGGATAAAACACAAATTATTGTGTAATTTCATATGAGCAGTAAGTAGATTCATAATAATGTTTTGGCGCATAACAATGAGATTACTGCCACATCTATTTAGCTTTTGCACAGAATTAGGATTAAAAATCAAGCTGGGTAATGTAGGTTTTAGTTTTCGCTCACACTGTTTGCAGTGTTTGCCCACATTAACGTAAAATAACGTCTTGATCTGCACAGTGATAAATGTGTCTTTTGTCCACATTCAGTTTGATTACCAAAATAACTGAATAGTACAGTTCTCTAGGAAATTATTCAGCCCGACAAGAAATGTAGACTTTTCCCAATACATTTCCTCCATATCAAATTTACATGAATCTTTTTAAATGTACCCTGTTTCAGCAGCTCTATGAGAAGCTTTTTAAGAAGTCTGAGAGGAAGTAAAGCAGACTGTGAATTTCCACCGCTGGCAGTCTGGAGCCAGTGCTGAAATAATTAGGGGAGAGAAATCTTTGGCTTGTGCAAACTTCTTTCCACCATTGCAGAACAAAATAATAAAGAGAATGTGTGTGAGACAAAGGCACGAGACCCCTACGGTGCCTGGGTCTCTGCTTCCTGTCAGGAGTATTCCTGCGGGGTTTCACATGACAAAACGCAGAAAGTTGTTTTGTCCCCGTGCCTGTCATGATACACCCTCATAACCGCAGCTGTGTGTTTGTGTGCATTATTTGTGTACGTGCGTTTGGTTTGTGCGCTTGCACATGTGTGTAGGTGTGTGTGGCTGTGCTTTTCTTTTTTTGTGCTGGCATGTTGTCTCGCTGTCTTCCCTGTCAGCTCATAGCCTGGCACCTGCTCTCATGTTCCTAATTAGTCGTATTTAATTAATTATATTCTACAGCACATCTCCTCTCTGTTCATATGCAGCGTCTTTCTGTTGGTCTCACTCCTGTCCTTCTACTCTTCTAAGTCCTTGTATTTCATATGCAGAGAGAGTCTTTCCTTGTTGTCTGTATTTCAGTTGTATGGGAGTTAGGGCGAGAGGCCGAGGAGGTTGTGTTAAAGCTAAAGTAGCAGCTGTCTTCTGGTTAAGTCAAGCACTCTTTTATCATAAACGCCATGTCCATTTGGGCAATGGAAAAAAATACCTCCTTTTGTCGACCATGTTGTCATACTCTCAAAAAACAGCACTTGGTAACTCTTTCCATCTTCCAAATTTGATGCTAAATGAGTGTTTTTGCCTGCGAGACACGTTGACAACCAGCTGACTCACCGACAGAATCTCTTCAGTAAGCTGCAGGAAAACAAGTCAAGTTTCAAGCATGGTGAGTAAACAGAAATCAGGAAAGCACTTTACCTGTGACAGTTGGCCTAAGCACCTCTTTCTTCTCTGTTAGCTTTTCTGTTCCATTTGTCAGGTTCACTTGGCTTGTATGCCAGCATTGTCTATTAGGTGTATTTTCACTGGGCTTAGCACTACAGTAAAGGACTGAATTGAGACAAATGTGAGAGAGAGAGAGAGAGAGAGAGAGAGAGAGAGAGAGAGAGAGAGAGAGAGAGAGAGAGAATTGAGTTTATTAGCTCTGGTGTAATTACTCATCATTTAGCCTACAACAAATGTAAGTTATAATAGTAAGGGCTATTTATAGTTTTACTGAATGTCAAGCTTTAAATGCACTATAATATCTGACACTAAAACCTTCAAACACTTAGCCTAATATCACCTTTATGTTGCAGGAAGTGTGGTAATTCCTTAAAACCAGGTGACGCTAAGAAGGGGGCATCCAAGGTACACAAGCACATCAGTGAACGACAGTGGAAACAGCGTTGAATTTCACTTCCTGAAGTCAGAGAAGAGGGGCAGCCAGTCGCAGGCAGGCTCCCAGCTGCCCCTCATCCTGTTTTTTCCACTAGAGGATCCTGGGCTTAAAGAAAAGATGCCGTTAATAATTCAGAGCCTTGATGAACACCACCCAACACCGCCACAAAAGACAAGATCAAACTTTTGGCAAAGCCAGCGCTGCAGCGGGTCGATAGTGTTTCCCTGCGTAGCACGCTGTACGTTGACCATATGGACATCATAATCACCCGTGGGATGAATCAGCAGATTCTTGATCTGGAGCCCAAAATCACACGACACCTTAATTAGCTGGTGTTGATATCGCCCTTCACAGTGCTAATTTGTCACCGCCAACAAAACAGCTTCTGGCAAGCACGGTTCTGTTGAATTTTGTCGACACCGCTAAGGAAACAGAGATGGAGCATATGAGGTGACAACAATTTGGGAGTAAAATCCCCCCTGACAGGTAGCTCTACTTGGCAAAGCATTTCTTTTTATCAACAAAGATTTCACACTGAATCATGTTACATATCAACAGCCAATTATGAGGAAATCAGCACGAGTTTGTCTTGATTATGTCCTGAATAATAACATGCAACCATCATTAAATTGTTTGGAACTTTGTCTATTCCCAATGACATGCGATTCCCAATAAGGTGTAAATAATTGCTGCCCTCCTCGGGAGGCGTAGCCACCATGAAGCAGTGAGTTGAAAAGGTCAGACGTGTTCTGCACGCCAGCTCTAAAGTGGTTTATTAGCATCCCAACGACATATTCAGGAGATCGTCTGAGACATAATTACCTGGATAAGGTACAGATGAATACTGTATTTGGGGGAGAAGGCAAGGTTGGTTGGATATTGGCTTTGTCTCCATTAACCTGGAGCGCGGTGTTAAAGGATCTGTTTGTGGAGAGAAAATGACAGGGAGTCGGGCTGACGAGGCTGGACCGAGACAGTTAAAGGCCCCTCGCTGCATAGGATAATTAATAAATAAAATACCAGGGGAGCCCCTGCCATGCCTTCGTCTATGACAGGGGCTGTCTCCAGTGCGCTAAAGCATTAAATGACCAATTTCTGTCAGACTAACTTCCACCACGCTCTCTCTCTCCCTCTCCTTTTATTTCTCCCTCTCTCTTTTGCTTGCCCTCTCGTCTCCACTACGCTCACCCCTCTCTCCCACTCTCCCTCTCTCCCTCGTTCCCTCCCTCACTTCCTCGTTTTCTGAAGTGGGGCTACTTTGCTCTCTTTGCACTGAGTTTTTCAGCGACTGATGGCTCTAGTTCATTTCTGCTGAATTAATTGGTCCCTGAATGAATTCTGTTGACAGGGCAATTCATCATGTGTTTGGCCTGACAGTGACTGGGTGTTGGGTAGAGGAGGGGGTGGAGGCGTCGGGGAGTGTGTGTGTGTGTGTGTGTGTGTGTGTTGGGGGGTGAAGCGGTTTGGGGAGCCAGTCAGAGGTGGTGGGGGTTGGTGATTGTGGCCTCCCACTTTTCTTTCTCCCCTCTTTGCCTCGTCTCTTCTTCTTCCTCCGTCCTACTGGAAGCTACAGAAGGCTGGATGCTCTTGTTGCACCGTTTCACCCAAACAGTTGGGACTCAAACTAATCAACCCCCCCCTCAGGCTGAGCTTCTGTCAGACAGAAGACCCTCTCTCAGCTTGAAGGGAGCACGCAGGTCAGTGCTACCCCATTTTACACATTTTGACCTTTTGTTACACCCCTACCCACTTCCTCCCCAACCTTAAATCCCTCCCCACCGCTTGATGTGCACACACAAACCCCATCTCTAGACCCACAACTCCTCAGCCCTGTTAGAGACTGACATAATCAGGTAGCGAGGAATATTTAGTGCTTAATTACACAATGTGTCGCACAAAGGCCATTCAAAACGATAATTTAGCTCCTGAAGGGAAATCGCTCTGCACTGCTGACTGATCTAACTGGGATGGGAATGGTCTAATAGCATATAGTTGGCAGATGAGGCCTGGGTTGAGAAACGCAGCAATTGCATTTCTCCAGACAGCTCTCCGACTTATCATTATTCTAATTGCGAACTATGCTACAGTACAGGCTGCACACAGAGCCCGAGCATCCTTTGAGCTTGAACATGGAGGAAACCTCTTTAGGCTGTGTTGAGTCAATCAATGCTCACTCATTACAAACATCACAAAGTCATGTTCTTGTCGCCTGGATGGTCTCACCCGCCGACAGCGAAAATAACCTCATAATCATCGTTCTGTCAGGATCAGGATCATCAGAGACCGGGCTTGAACTCTCTGACTCCCCTGCCACGCTGAAATAATTTTAGTATGAGATGATGATTTATTTCCACAAGGACATTTTCTCAAACCTTTATTCTAATTGTCAAAGCCGTTTATTTTTGGACCAGGATGACAAATGCACAGTTGCTTCAAGACTTTTATATCTAAGACATATTCACTTTCAAGGTACAAACAACAGGAGAAATAACTCTTTTCAACACATAAAGTAGCTTCACATTATACCTCTGGAGCGCTTTAGTGCTGCCTCTTCTCAGCCCAAATCCATTTGGGATTAACAGAGTTAACGAAGGCGCCATTGTGAACAATACTGCACCCGTGTTAGCCACTAATTAAAGCCGCTTCTAATGAGGGCTCGTTGATTGACACAGCAGGGTTGGCCTCTCCCCTCGCCAGCATCAACTATGACAGCCACATGATGAGGCTGATGACAGGCTCCCATGCAGGCAGATGACAGGACGTCACTGCTAGACCACCATCACCGCTCCTCGTCTCTGATCAGTACAGCGCTCGTGTCACACCTTGAGATTCAGAACCCTGCTCTCTGGTTATCTCATGGATGTTTACACAACGAGAAATCATTATGTATTGAATTCTAGGTGTTTTTATTGAACTTTGCTGCTGTTATTTCTGTTAAAAGGAAACACCCCGTTTCAACAATCTATAAAGACTCACAAGGGAAGGTACACACATTTTATCAGCAAAATGCACTTTAAAAGTAAAAGCACTTGGCTGTTAAAAATCATACATGACATTACTGGTTTGTTAATATTAATGCATCAATGCAAGTAGTACTGTTGTAGCTGGTCCAGGTGCAGCTAGTCTTTACTGCTTTATATACTGTTCGGTAGTTTAGTCCAGTGGTCTCCCATCTAAAGAGTCACAAGATTAATCTGGGAAGGAATAGAAATCAAAGTCTTGAAACTAAAATTTGTATTCATTTGGGGAATTTCCTCTAATTTTTACTTTAATTTTCCCCTAAATTTTAATAAAAAGTAATATAAAAGGAAAATAATCATGTAAAGCACAAGTACCTCAACATTGTATAGAGAACATGAACTTTCCGCCACTGATGTCCACCTGCAATCATATTTGAGATGCTCATAAACAATATAGAAATTAATATAATTGAATGCAGTATGTTGATGTCTGAATATAGCTTTAATTTTGCAAGGGATTGCTTCAGACCGAGTCCATCCACCAGCTCTGTACAATGGGCTTATTTCACTGTATATATTATCAGTGACAGACATGAATCATGCCAAAGAGGCCTGGCTGTAGGGCATCACCAAGCCAAGTTGACAATGAGGGTGAAGTGTGTGAGTAAATCTTGAGCGAGGCCCATTGGCCCCCGTGGCAGGGCCTCTCTGTGCGGGGTTTGAGAAGCCCCGAGGATGACAGGTGCTTTTCGTAATGCCTAACTGATGAGAGCCAATCAGTGCTCCCCGTTCTGCTGGTGTGTGTCTCTTCTCCTGTTGTTGTCATCTGGCCCGCTAAAGTAAAGATGAGCTTGACTGACAGATGCATCCGGGTTCACAGTTTATTGGTTTCTACGAGGGAGCCAGATATGCCAATTTAGACAGGGTTGTGACAAAAAAAGTTCCCATCTAAATGGAATAATTTTACCACTGGGAATTCTCAGCTGGGAGAGGAAAGAGTGTGTATGTGTGTGTGTGTGTGTTTTATATTTTAACAAGGCCTGAATGACAAACACATAGGACAATAAGGGGGCTGACAGAAACAGCAGCTTTTGATGCTTCACAGGGGATCCATGAAATAAACAATAGGCAGAGGAAGCAGGGAAATTGAATTACAACAATTGTGTGTTTCCGAGTGGAGAGTGCAGAGAGGAGGTGAAGCAGCATCACTGTGGTATAGCAGGATGAAACCGATGCATCATTAACTATAGTGGAGTCAGAAGCCGGGCAACGCTCTCCTGCCTTCACAACTGTCCTGCTTCTTTGTTTCCCTCCCCTCTCTCCCTCTCTCTCTTTCTTTTTTTTTACTGTCTCCCTCTATCCTGCACACATACATGTTAACAGAGTGCAGTTATTTTCATTGTGGGCTACTTTTAACGGGAATCATAACATATGTGATTTCTACAGATTTACACACACACACTGACACAAACAACATGCTCTGCGTCTTTCATGTATTTCATACTTGAGAGCTCTAGCCCGTCTGAGTGCCTTCTGTAGTCCTGACTGTTCATAAAACCAAACATCAATATACCCGCAGCAGGAACGCTCTTCGGGAACCTTGAACCCTGAATCATTTTCTTATGGGGTTAATAATGAGGGGACACAGAGTCGACGACTGACATATAAAAGAATTTATTTCTCATGTGCACAAAAAGAATTGGAACAGAACTGAAACAGAACAATGATTGAGGCCACAAGGCTTTCCGTATAGATTTTCATCAGAAATCCTTTTTATGTCCATGACACGTCTCCTGTATCATCTTTACAACAGCGGAAGACCCGTTCCTTCAGAGGTGCTCTGTTTCCTTAAGCAAAGACTTCGCCTGAACGGCGGTGGCTCGCACTCTGCGCCAGTGTTTCATTTTCGGATATGTGGAGCTACATGTAGACAGAAATAGGCAAATCCCAAGTGCAATTGGTAGAGGATAGCTTCTCCTGAAGAGCAGGACTGCAGTCTGTTTCCTGTTATCTGATGCCCTCAGCAACAGTTAACCCTGGTACCAGATGATGTATTTGCTCGTGTGGAATTAAAGTAAACTTCATCTTGGATGCCTTACGCTAAAAGAGTTGTATTGGTAGAGAGAGTGGAAGGAGGGAGTAGAGATGGGTAATACGTGAGGATGTGTTTCTATACATGGAGGCACGGATGACTGTAATTTGGATTAACATAATGATCACAACATCTACTAACAGCAAACAGGACAATATCTTTGATTGTTGCCAATGACTTCAGTTTGATCACATCTTCTTTTAAGGGAATTTGTGGAGCAAAAGTGAAATGAGAGAGAAGCCATTTCACACTGGAGGTCTTTTGTATTTGTTACCTTGTATGCTGTTCTCCATGGGGATTACTTAATCTAAATCCAACAACAAAAGATGATACAGAAAGCCATTTAACTCATTGCATAGTGACATAAAACATCATCATGACATTATCATGAAAACAAAATAAAATGACAAAGACAACCTATGTGACGTTAGCATCTGAAACCTGCTACTACAGCATATGTAGCCGCAGGTTATACAGTAGTTGTGCCTTTCCTCAGAGCACAACATTACATTACGACACAAATGTAATGCACGTTTTCTTCAGTCTGTATATCTACAAAGGGAGCCAGTACATTAGTATGATACTGCAATGGTGTGTGTGATATTATTTACAGAGAAGAATTGTCTTCACATTATTCACAAATCATTCTACAAAGCAGCATTTCGTTGCAACCGATGGAGTATTGAGTCACTGAATTTCACCTTTTTCATTACAGTCATTATGCATCATGTTGTTCGCCTGTTAAAAAGTCATGAAGTACAGGATCAGTGTTGACTACTTATTTAAAAGATAATACTGCTTTATTTATGCATACATATACTGTAAATAAAATATTAAATATCAAACTAAGTCTTTGGCAGATGTAATTAAAAGTACATTCACAAAATATTTTTCCAAAAAGCAAACTGAATCAGTATTTCCTATCAGTCCCAGTGGAGAGCAGAACGTAAATCAAGGAGGGTGGTGAAGATGTGTCTGTAAAGGCAATTAATTTAGTTGAACAGGCATGAATTTACGTTGAAAAAACAGGTTTGTAAGGCAATTGTTGAAGCTAATTTACAGTTGGTTCGCTCAACTGCGTACAGCTTTCTAAACTGTGTAGGCATCTAGTGGTATGACTAAGTAGCTGAATGGATTGTAACCCAGGAGAATTGAATTTGTTCATGTAGCCATAGGGCTATGGCTTACAAACTCCTCAGAAACTTCAAAGCATCACTTTTACTCAGAAAAATATGTTTCTGTCTGTCTGGCTTCTGTTTTTACACTTACACTATCCAACATAAATAGTATCAACTTGTCTTTAAAATTGGTAGGTTATTAAACTTAATTTTAAGTGAATGTACCAAATAAATTAAATAAGCTGAGGTTTTAGTGCAAAAAAAGAGCAAAGGACGATCATGCATGGACATGGACATGACTGGAAAAGGAGGGAAACGTGACAACTACTCTGAAGGAATCTTTGATAGCCTTTTTTACATAAAACAACAGTGACAGGAAAAAAATAATTTAAAGTATTTAAAATTCTGGCGAGGCCATTACGTGGTCACCATGTTTTTAATACTTTGCAAAATGATTTACATTTTTACATCTGATTGTTTGCCACAGGGAGTGTGATGTTGCCATTGGTCTATATAGGGTCGGTAAACGTTGTAGGACATGCTGTGTTTATCTGATAATGTAGTGGAGCCAGGATCTCATTAGGTGTCAAAGGGGCCTCGCAACACTGATTCAAGTCGCTGCATCGTCAAGCTATGGGACCGTTGTCATCTCCCCTGGACTTCTCTCTTTAGAGCAGAAAAATACTGCAGTTCATCACATAAAAGGAATGTGAGGATCCATGAATAAAATAACAACAACAGCAACAAAGAAACAAAAATAAAAACCCACAACATTTTTTTTCCACATGGTATTCTTCACACTGTTTTTCTTCAATTTATATTTTATAATATATATATTTATATAATCTCTTAAAGTCATTTTGGAAATGTTCCGGCCTTTGAGAGAGTGAGGGCATGATGGGTGAGTTCTGAACGCCCGCGGGCCCTTTTGACCCAAAGTGTGTGTGACGCTGAAAGCCGGGCTGGATGCACCGGCGTCGACCTCGCCGATCCCTCCTCCACATCGCGTAACATAATAGGGTTTCCTTTACGATTCCACCTCGCTTCCCTTTGACCTCAGTGTTTCTCAGACGGGGACAATATGGAGGCCGAAGCCCAGGGCCTGCAGTTTGAACTGGTTTCCATGGTAACTAGTGGCGGTCGTAGGCAGCAGTGGGAGGTGCGGAGCCACGGGATGCGGCACTATAATAATAAGGGGAACCTGAAAGTTAACAGAAGAACGAGCCGTTGGAAACCGTGAGGTCGAACATCGTGCAAGACACGTTTGTGTGAAAGTCCAAGGACAGAGAATACATTTGTATTACTGTGCTTTATTAATACATTCATTTTAAAGTGTATTAATGTTATGGCTATGTTTGACAGTTTTTCTCATACCAGAGAGAGTCACTTACTTAGTAATGCTGGATTGCTGAACCGCCACGCTTCGTTGTAAGTGGTGTATTGTGGATGAGAGTAAGGGTTTCCAGAAAAGTCCCCTCCTGGAGAACAAATCGATAAAAACAAACATTAGCAAAGAGCTAACAACCTGAAATGACTGTCAGCTTTCATAAAACATTAAGCTGTAAAAAAAAAAGTACCTATCAAGTTACTTTGCAGTATGATTGCAATCTTGTCACAATACAATGTTTCTGCTGCATTTTTATCCCGGCTGCTTGTATAGCTTGTCTCCATGCAGTCCCTTCAGTTGAATTGATTGTCTTATTAATCCTCTGTTAGTCTTTTGGATTTGCTCAATCTTTCCCTTAAGTGAGGACGTCGGTGCCTTTTTTCCCCCCCTGCTTTTAAGTGATGATGCTGCGCTCTAGAACTCCCTAATAGGTTCTCTGTGCCCGTGTGCAGGTCGTGGTGGGAAGGACGGGAGGCTGAGGGGATGTCAGAGAGCGATGCTGTGGGTCCACAGGTTTCCTTCTTTTACGAGACTATAAAGGCTGGGTTTTATATGAAGCCGCTGAAGAATGGCCTTTGCTTTAACAGTGTTTGGGGCCAGTCACTAAATCTTAGTCATTCACCACCAGATGAAAGAAAAATTACAACCTCTGGATTAAGAAGGTAGCTGAGCTGGTATGAGTATATCATAAGCACTCTCTCATGGCATGTAATCCAATAAAGCATAAGTCATTTTCTTTGTATCAGATATCAGCTTTCACCTCCTTGTTTATCTGAACATGTTACCTTCATGCACACTGAGCTCACTCATAAATACTGCACGCCTGCTTTGATTATTGGTCAGTGTGAAAGGTACATGTCTCCGAGCAATAAAGGGAATTGTGTTTTCAGTTGTTTGGAGGAGAGATCTACACACGCTGGAAGCTACAGCATCCCCACTGCTGGTCGTGTAACTCGAGCTCATCCCTGAGAGAGATAGTGATTTAAATATTTACAGGCCCTCCACGCCTCTGTGTTTTGACCCTTAACTGTTTGCTGTGAACCTGAACTGCAGGTTAAGTAGAGGGGAAAGAGATACGCTCTGCAGCCCTGGGTGTCCGGGGAGGCGAGGAGGCGAGGAGCGGAGCAAAAGCAGTGTTTATCGACGGGGCTGGTGAGAGTGCGCTGTGTGGACACGGTGAGGGTAATGAGCGCTGGGAGCTGGAGTGTAACTGAGAGGAACTGTCCTATCACACGGCCACTGATTGTGGTGATCGCCTATCGAGTTCATCTAATGTCCTCGGCCGCAGACGCTAACCGCACGCTAACCGCAGTCTAACACAGCTATAACAAGCTTGCTTCAATCCTTTGGGTCGAGAGCAACGCTTTAAGGTCTCTTCAGTATCTCAAATAGTGAATGTGTTTTTGTATGTGTTACATGTTTAAGTGACCTCAACGAGATCAACTGAAGGGTAGTACCTACTGGAAATGAAACCTGTAAAAGTAGAATTAATGGCATCATAAAAAGGGTGTAGTGAAACATACCAGGGACCATTCCAGCGAGTGTGGAGGTGGGGTAGCTGCCTTGTCCTGTGGGCGGGACATGAGGCGGGTAGCCAGGTAAGGTGGTACTGGCCATGTCTCGACCTGCAGGCACACAGGAGGGATAGTTCAAAATGAATGTATATTTTCTGTGTTTACGTGACGTTAAAGCTTAAACATACAATATTTTCCACTCCTTTTTTTATCTGTAAACATTGTTTCACTCTAAGTGCTCCAATTATAATATTTCAAGAAACACCAAAGTGGAGCGATTCATATAGTCACTGAGAATAAGTTAAAGATCTTTCCGCAATATTCTAAAGAAAAAATAGTTGCAAACATGCTAAAATTAACCACAAATATGTAACATGTTGCTGCATGTGTCATGAAGTTGCATGTTTTTCATCCATTTGGCGGAACTTCTTATCCAGTCTGGAGTTGCATTGGATGACAGGTGATGAAACGATCTTATCAGTGACTACAACTGCTGTAACATGAATATACCAACGTCCTAAGCAGCTTTTGAAACTGACAGGAGCATCAGGCCAATGAGGGCTCCCTCTGCTCCACATTCAGTACTTTGATTAACAGTGACAGCATCGGGCATGGCTGGATGAAGGGGCACACAGGACAGGGACATACAGGTCCAAAACAGCATCAGCCCTACGTCTCTGCCTCTGCACCCCCCTTTGGCCTCCTCCTGCATCCCCCTTTGGCCAGAGAGCAGTCGCTGTTAATGAGGGGCAAGCAGTCAGTTTTGCTTGTGTATACAAAACAGTCGGGCCACAATGCATGATGGGATTGATGGCTTTGCAACGTGAGAGGCGGACACTTTAATTTGCGTCTATTTGATAATTACTACATTATTAAAGATAAACACATAGGCAAATCAGCTAAAAAGAGTGAGCTTGATTGGGTTTTGATCTGGTTACAGGGCCTTATGGGTAAAGTTGTACCTGCTATATAGGACTGGCTGGCATACTGGCTGTAGCGGGGGCCGTGGGCATGGGCAGGGTAGCTGGGAGTAGAGGCATCTACAGAGAGGCTGGACTGGTGGGGCAAGATGTCGGCTAGAGCAGAATCCCCAACAGAGGAGGGGGTGAAGGGGGCAAAGGATGCCTCATGGGGCTCTCGCTTTACACACATGGAAGGTGGATATGATGGGTGAGAGTCTGCCAGGTGGAAAGAAAAAGAAAGAAAAAAACTAGATATAATGTAGACATGCAACTCCACACATACTGCACATACATTCACTTCAGTCACTCGGATGTATGGAGGGATGGATGTAAAGCTTTCTAAATGTCCAAATAACCAAATGGAAAACTTCTGTGCAGAGGCAAAAACAAACCAAATGTGTCACAGCAGATGTTTTTAGACTTGTCATGCATTTAGCCGAACACTACAACAGAACAATAAATCCAACACAGACGGGACTCATAATCCTTAGCAGATTTTTGCCATAATTTAAAGGGAGCATAAAGGATAAGGATCATTACAAGAAGTGCAGTTGCTCCTACGCATTAACTTCCTATCTTTCACCAACTCATAACCAGACATTTCATATGAATCCTGAATAGATAAGCAGTATTTAGCAGTTGATTTGTTCATTTACATAGCATATAATAATAATCTCATATGCACCCAGCAGTAATTCATTCGACTAAGTGGAAACATACACCAGTGAAATGTTGCAACAACACATCGCGCCTGATCAATCAAGCTCAAATGTGTAAAAAATTTCCCCAAGGTTTTGGGGAAAACAAACAACATAATCTCACGGCTGCTTTCTCACAACAAAATCACTCCCCCAAATAACCAAACAATCGGCTCGCAGACAGTTCAAAACTCTACACTTTGATGTAATTTGGCTGATGAGTCTTGGCATCTTTCATTTCACCGGCTCTGCCACTTGAACCTATGCAATCAATGTAAGCTCTGTCTCCGGCCTCTCCACGTCTGCCGCAGAGCCTGTTGTGTTCGCTGGGGCCTGTAGGGAGAGATGGCTCTTTCCCGACACCATGATAGCCTCATTAGCTGCTTCCCCCATCATTGTTATTTTACAACAGGACTGTGTGTTGCGATTCCTCATTAAGATAAGGGCTGTTCTATGGAAGGGGGATGCAACCCTGTCAGCCCTATGAACCTAATGCCAGGGAACGTGGCTGCTTTCCCATAGAAATCTATTGCAGGTTTTCCAAATCTCTTTGTCTTTGTGACAGCTGTAAATGGGGATTTAGACAGAGGTAGAGCAATTACACACAATGCCTTCATCTTATTGAGACTAATAGCATTGTTATGGAGGGAACAGCACAATGTTAACTATGTAAGTTTTTGATCAAATCATTAAAAAGCTGGTTGCCTCGAATCTCTGGCATGAACAGAGATATTCTAATGAGCGGCCTTTGCATTAATTGGATAGGCCTAACGTTTGTCACATGCGCTGTACAAGTATGTCATGAATTTTTTGGAAACAATGTCCGCATATAGGAATGATTGCAAATGGCTGTCACACAGTTCGGTTCTTCAGTTAATTATATCTAACATGTACTTTGTTAAAGTCTTTAAAGTTGAAACAGCTTTCAAAAGTCCAGTTACCCTGCGACTGATTTGGGTGCATAACAATCTCCATCCACCACCAGAATTTGTTACTATAGACAACACAGCAGATAATGTTAGTGGTTAGCCTTAAATCACTATGTATTCAACAAACGGCTTGATCAGTGCCATTACGTTTTTTACCCGCGAACACAGCAAGCCTAAACCATAACAAAAACAAATGTCACAAGACACACTCAACAAGTGCTGGCTATAACAAAACATAATCCAATCATGTTGTCTCACAGTTTAGAAAAGTGGATTGGGTGTTTGTAAACCTTGCTCACGCACGTTCGTCGCATTGTTCTGAGGAACACTTACTATGTTATCAGGGTGAACCTTTGGGACATTAATTTGAACTTCAGTTAAAGGTGCCAAACACGAAGCCCAGGTCTGTTTACACCGAGACTTCCTGCACACTACTGCAGGCTTCTGTTTTCTCAGCGCCTGAGCAACCGTTGTCAAACAGACAGTGGTTACGACGCAACAACAACCGATACAAACGCTGCGTTCAAGACCACTGAACTCTGAAACTAATCAGACATGGTGTTGCTTATTGTCCTGGAGACGAGGCAGAGCCCGGGTAAAGGGAGCCTGTCAAATCACAGGCCCTGATGATGGAGATGGAAGATAAACTCTGGGTCCTTGGGGACTCTTCTCCCCAGCAAACACATCTCTGAGAGAGTGGAGACGCTATAGAGTTCTCCAACATCTGTCTCTGCTCCACCCCTGATACCATGTCTATAGACCCCATCAACCATAGAAATGGACTGTTAAGATCTACAACGGCCCTCAGCGTGATGCGTCCAGATATAGCTACAACAGCCTTCTCTCAAGTGAGCATTTCATTTTTAAACATACACAGAGGAACTGTGGTGCACAAAACATTTACTGGCAGAACTCTTGTTTTCAAAGGCTGATACTCAATCTACGGAGAACTTTTCTATTCCTACAGTATCTTCAAGATCACAGCAAACCTTCTGTCTCGTGTAGGCAGGGCAAAGTCATCTGGACTTCACTCTCCTGCATTGTAGAGGTGGTCCTTTATAGCCCCTTACCCCAGGAAAGGAACAAAATAACTATTCTAAAAGGCTGCATCCAGTTGTCAGTAAAGAATAGTCACAGGGCCAAATAGCTTGAATTCCCCATCCACGGGTTTAAAGTAATTCATTACCAAATGTGTGCTCAAAGGTTAGTATGCTGGGTGATATAAACATTAATTTCCGAGCTCGGGGCTGCAGACGTTAACTGAGCAGAGACACGGCGTTTGCCACCAGGCCACACACCAGGCACCACAGGTTAGGTGGCTGCTTGTTGTTTGCCACCCAGCAGAGAATGGCTGGCACTGCCAAGTCATAAATAAGGCTCAGAGTGAGGTGTACATTTCAGCTAAAATTAATCATAGATAAAGTGTGTTTTTCCCCCCACCTCATTAGTACAGTTGAGATGAGGGAGAGAGAGAAATAGATAGATAGGTAGATATAAAGAGTGACAAGCGCTGGATCTGTGCATCTGCTAGAGTCTAAGTAGGTCAGAGGGGTGCCCATTTACACCCAGCGTCCCCACAGGCTCTGGTGAGAGTGATTATGGAGCCAAGCCTTTACAGAGACGACTGTACTCTCATTGGGCAAAGCCCTGTTTAACTACTGATACGAAGATATATTGTATCGTACTATCTTTTGTTCCACGTACTAAGTCTCGGGATTAAGATCATTACAGTCAAGATGCAGCGGATCTGCAGGATACTTTATGTTGCTGAGTCTGTTCCCGTATCAATAGAAAAAAGTGCAGACATACAGTATAAATGCTGGACAAGAGCCAGAGACTAGGAGTTAATCATGTTCTACCCATGGATGCACTGAACAGTTCACAGTGTTCCTGCACTGGACACGAGTACAACAGTTTCACTACAGCGTGTAAACACCAGAAACAAAGTTCCGAGTTTACTTTTTATCCAGTCGGTTATGCAAATATGTGCCAATTAACATCTACTTGCCATTTGTAATCTTTTTTTATGATAAGAGAATAATTTCCTTTCAAAGAATTACTGACAGTTTATGTCTTCTTTCACAAAATATTAACATTACAATTTTCATTTACATGTGGAAAGTCTCAAAGTCCTCATTCTGCAGGAGGGGAAATCATTTGTAAATGACTGCTGTTTCTTACTAAATCCTCTTAATCTCTCTGATTTGGATGTCGCCTTCCTTCCTTGGTAACCGTGTTTTTCACACATCAGGATAAACAGAGGACACAAAAGATGGCCGACATTGCCTTCGCTAGCGCCCTTGGAACGGAAAGCTGAGCACTTCATTAATCATTCATCTTTAATAGATTATGCAAATTTCATGACATAAAAATCAACAAGATCAATAACTGTATGAATTTTAATTGGGAGCAGAAAACATTTAAAGATTGAATATAATCTCGTGGCTCCATCCAGTATGAGAGCATAATTTATTGATAATTGGATCCAAGCCTAACTGTGGAAGGTAATTTAGCATTTTTCAGCCTTGGCATACATTCCTATTTACATGGTTTGCTAATGGCAGAAAAAAATAATATTATGCAGTAACAACCTACACCCAATCAAATACTTCATGCATTGCTTTGCAAAGTCGTTAAAATTAAGTAATAAAAGCTTACTGGATATTACTTCTGACTTAATTTGGTGCTCAAAATAATCATTTTCTAATGCTTGTGCTAAAGTTTGTTGTCATATTCCACTCTGAGAAAAGTTTTCTTAGTTTGACTCCTCATTATGCAATTTGCCCTCACATGTATCGCATTAGGAGGCCCCCGGCCCCCAGGTGTGGCTTGAAGGCCACCTGCTATGAGTGCGCTCCCCAGAGCGAGACCGCTTTCATAGGAGGAGCCCAGCATAAAAGACAAAAACACACCTTTCTTCTCCTGAGGCCCAACTTTCTGGGGCAAATCTACCTCCCACATATTCAGGAATAAAAAAAGGGGTCTTTCTTTTCCCATAGCTCTGTGTCTGGGTCCGGGGCTGGACTGTAGGGATCATTTGAGAAGGGTCACTGCAGTTTTCAATCATGCTGTCCTCCTCTTTACTTACTCGCTCTCTTTCTCTCTCTCACACGCACACACACACACACACACACACACACACACACACACACACACACACACACACACACACCCACACACACACAGTGGACTCATTGACTTTGATGCTCGATGCATAATTATGGGTGTTTTATTAAAAGACCGGCATATTACTCTCCAGTCAGTGTGGCCATAAGTAAACCGAACCTCTCCTGGGAAAGAGGCTCAGCAGCCACAAACAAAATTTCAATTAACCAGGCGGCCATCAACCTCGACAGCAGAGCAAAAGAAGCCATAGTGCAATAGAGGGTGGGTCAGTGTGGGTTATATGATACAGCTAGTTAATACTACAAGATATTCAATACACTGCACCTGCCATTACCTGTTGGCTCTCAGTGGAAGTTACTCTTGAAAGCAGCAGTCAGTTCATGAGTTGTTAAAAAGCCCCCTGTAATTTCAGTGTGTCTTTCACTGTCTCCTCTGTATCTGGGTCTCTCTCTCTCACCACAGCGTGAGGCAGCCAGCCAGCCACGGCGCAATTCCAGCCGCTGTCAATCAACAGGCTATCATAGCCTTTGATGACAACGTCGTGTCGCGGCGAGAACAGCAGCTGTCTCTTATGAGAAGTGCTCCCAGTCAATCTGTTAGCGGGCCAATCGGGGCTAACACAATAGCCAGTTAGGAGCAGCGAGTGAAAGGCCTGTAGGATTTAATGGGCTCAGATGATATATCGCCTCGCTCTGTCCCTCAGAAATAAATACACAGAGTGCCTCAAAAAGTGTCTCGAAAGAGGGGTTTCATTTGGTGATAAGGATTTAATATCGCTGGAGAGTGTGAGCGCCATAAGGGAGCGGCAGTTAAAATCTTGATTGCTCGATGATGATGTAATATCGAGACGATTTTTTACAATGCTCAGTCAGAGTTGACCAAATTTGAGAAAAACACATTAAAAATAAGTTAATTTCAGTACTTAATTACATTTATAGTACTTCAATTTATACGGAAAACAGCTTAGAAGAGAAGGCACAAACAACTGACCATCAACTGATCATTATTATCCTTTAGTATGATAAAGTGACATAAAGTGTAATCTGGTCTAAAATGACAGTCTATGGCATTTTCAGTAATTTCAGGTGCAGTATAGTCTCGTTTGTCAGCTGCTCCCATCTTTTACAGCTGCAATAGTGTGCACATGGTGATTATGGGATTTAATTGGACTGATTTGTTTTATATCAGGAGGATGAGGAATGAGAATATTTGGAATACAGTTCATCATGTTCACTTGGCTGGTGAGAGGGGGCAGCGAGGAATTTGTAAAAATAGGATGCAGAATGTTAAAATTGACTAAAATCATGCGTATGACATGCTTGGTTATACTTTAACTAAATGCCACGAAACAATATATAAAGACATCGCAGCAGTAGCTGAGGTACTGTAAAGACACTATGTTTGTGTTCTCGCTACACAGTTCAGCCACCTTGTTGCAGATGTTTTCTACCTGCTGCAGCTGTGTGTACTCTTTTAGGGATCAATCTAGCGTGAGTTAGATTGTACCTGTCACAACAGAGTAGCTCTGGGAGACACTGGAGGCGAGGTCGGAGCGGTCGCTGCTGGAAAGGCTCGGCTTCACGTCATCTATTCCAGCGTTCAGGGATGGGTGTGAGTACTCATTCGCCTGTAGACAAACACACAGCACATGCAAATATATGTCAGCGGAGGAATGCACACGTGAGCATAGATGGCAAACAAAAAGAGCAATTCAGACTTTTTATATCAAATAATTTCACATTCCACCAGATTGCGTTATGATCTGGTTAATATCACTCATGCACTGCATGCAAGCCCACTTTGGGTGTGAGATTTAGAGCAGCTTTCCCCAGTTATATATGAAATCTCTCTGAAGGAAACCCCTTGTGTATCGGAGGAAGCTGCCTGTGATCCTTTCACTGTATTTCCTTCTGAATACTTCCTGTGAATTCTGTGAGCATCACCCCCCCCCCCCCCCCCCCCCCACCCCCTTCGCCAACCCGTCCCGACCCCGCTCCCCGTGCTTTACCAAGACCTATGATGTATGCATGCATTAGGGCTTGTCTGAGAAGAAGGCAGGAAGGGAGAGAGGGATGAGAGAGGGATTGTGAGAGGAGTGAAAGGACGGGGTGTCAGCTGGCTCTTTGTGCTCCACTGCAGTCATCCCTGTGACCAGTCAAGGGAGGAGACATTCAGGGCTTTGTTACAGGAGAGACATGTGGTGTGGTTTTTTAAAGGGGCGTACAACCTCAAAAATCAACCTTTGTGCTTTGCCTCTGGGATGAACACATAAAACTGGGTTAATAACATGATAAAATAGTGGGTATTGTTTTTTATACCTTTCGTAGTTTTATTAGTATATTTTACTTTATATTGGAGATTTTTATTTCAAATCTCTTCAACTGTGATAAAACAGCCATCTTTCATGGTTTACAATTTTTTGTTCAAAACATTTTTACAACACCAGAAAACTTCATGTAAAGATCAACCACCGACGAGACTCCACCAAGTATTTATCACAGGTTAAGACTCTGCTATAGCAGCTGTGATGAATCCCGTTTGTCATTGAGATGACACTTCCTGACCTGACTCCTCTTCTTTGAAAGGATAAGTGTGTGTGTGCACACATTTGTGTCTGCGAGTGTGTGTATGTGCGTGTGCATCTGTTTGTCTCAATGGGACGGGGTCCCACAGGGGCAAGCTGGTGACCCCAGTCTTGTCTGCCTCTATCCCAGATAAACTCTAATTGTCTGCTTACAACTGTTCCCTGGCACTAGGCTGGATGTTCCTCTCTATTCCGCTGGGTCTCAGCAGCACAAGAGCCATTTTGTCATGCAGATGGGCTGTGGGCAGGACTGGGCAGGGCTGGGCGGAGGGCGAGTGGCAAGCACAGAGAGGCCTGAATGACCTGACCACATGGCTGCCAGAAGTGTGGGAGGGATGAGGCCTATTCAGCCTGGCCTCTTCAAAATGGCTTTTTAATGCCCTGATGCAGACACCAGACAAGCCCTTAATAGCCTAATATCCCACCTTTTCACCAGTTTAAGAAAAGGAGGGGGTGTTGGAAACAGGGAGAGAAATGGAGGTGCACAGAAAGAGTGGAAAGCAGTCTGATTAATATTACATTAAATTAAAACTGATTTTTCTGGACCATTCTGATGCCGTTTTTCTCCCCCCTCTCCTCCACTTTCCTCTCGCCTTTTTAATACCTTCTCCTCCACTCTTTGTGATTGCAAGTCATTTCCAATTCGTTTTGGTATTGATCTTGCCGTAGAAATCACTTTGGTAATTAGCTGCATTAGGGGCTGTATAGCAGGCTGAGGGGCTGTCCCTCTGATTTATCGCCGCTGTAATTCCCCGCGATCGCACAGAGATGAAAATGAACTCAATTAGGGCACTGCTAAGGCTGCATGGGCACCCACATAGAGTTCCAGAGCAAAAAAATAATAGTCTCTTATTGTTTAACAGTCTAATGCATGTAAATAAAGGCCATCCGCTGAAACAGGCTGTAGGCTTGTAGGCGCCTTGGAGCAAGAAGTTGCACAGAGCTTTTTGTCCCCTTTGTCAGTATGTGTACCAGATTATTCTCTATATATTGTTAAAAATCAATGTGAAGTGTTTTACTTAAAGACAAACAGAAAGAAAGAAACCGGGATGCCAGTGCAGGGCTGTACATTTCAATGCGTAGATAGAAATCTGTGTGGCGAACCTGTTCAGGTTTGATGTGTTCTGAAGTGGGGAAGACATCAGGGTAAGAGGGACGTTCAAACACACGGTCCAGGGCCTCCAGCTGCTGCTGGGTGAAGGCGTCTGCTCGCAGGTGCTTCCTTAAACTCTCCACACTGCCCTGAGAGTCGCTGCCCGGACCTGAGCCATCAGAGCCATCTAGAGAAAGACGGACAGGAGGAAGGGAAGGCGAAGACATTCTGCATCAGGGCGTAGCTCCAGTCTTTTTTACCCGACATTATTCTAGCAGGCTAGCAATGTGAGATAAGCATAAGAAGATCAACGGTGTAAAAGTGATGGCATGAGGAGCGGTAGTAAATTCAGAGAGACCCACCAACATGTCAGCTTTTTTATCTCCCTCCCTGTTTCCCCCCCCCCCCCCCCCCCCC